GGATGGATAAAAGGATGGGTGAGTGGATGGATGGATAGATGGATGGATGGATGGATGGATGGATAGGAGGAATGATGGATGGAGTGTGGGTGGATGGAAAGATGAATGGATGGATGGAAGGATGGATGGATGAAAGGATGGATGGATGGAAGGAAGGAAGGAAGGAAGGAAGGAGAAGCTTCCAGAACAATTAATCAGTGGAACAGCTTGCCTGCAGAAGTTGTGAATGCTCCAACACTGGAAGTCTTTAAGAAGATGTTGGATATCCATTTGTCTGAAGTGGTGTAGGATTTCCTGCCTAAGCAGGGGGTTCGACTAGAAGACCTTCAAGGTCCCTTCCAACTCCGTTATTCTGTTGGTAGGGCCGGGGCTGAAGATTTTAATTCAGCAAATGGGTGTTATTTTCAGACATGGTTGGAGCATCTGCAGAGGGCTAAAAGAGCCATGAGCAGATACAAGACTGATGGCCACAATTGAGCCCCAAATTCCTGTCGCTAAGCATGACAGTCATTAAGGGAGTTCCACCCCATTTCACGACCTTTCAACACGGTTGTTAAGTGAATCACCACAGTCGTTAAGTTAGGTTCTTAAAGTGAATCTGCCTTCCATTATCAGAGGCTTCCCTTATTGTGTTTTGGCGATAAAGTAGGCTGTTACATAATATTAAGTAAAAAAAATTATACAGGTAGTAGGTAGTCCTCGACGTATGACCATAATTGAGCCCCAAATCCCTGTTGCTAAGTGAGACATTAGTGAAGTTGGTTTTGCCCCATTTCACCTCATTTCTTTGCCACCGTTGTTGAGTGAGTGTCTGCCATCGAGAAGTTAGTAGCCTGGTCGTTAAGTGAGCCTGTCATCCCCATTGACTTTGCTCATCAGAAGGTCGCAAAAGGGGACATCACGTTGACCCCGGGATACTGCGACCATCATAAATATGAGTCCGTGGCTAAGTGCCCGGGTTTTTTGATCACGTGACTCTGTGGATGCGGCCACAGTCGTATGTGTGAAAACCGTTTTTTTTTCCGGTACCGTTCTAACGTGGAAGCGTCACTAAGTGAAATCGAGGACTTACCTGTACATCGAACTCTGCTTGATTTATCAGGTGAGGGAAGGGGATTAGCAGAGGGGCAGTTATGTAGTCCAGCGGTCACCAACTGGTGGTCCGTGAGGAATTGTTGGTGGTCCGCAGAAAAATTATTTGCATTTTTTATACTGCACTAAATCCGGGGTCCTCAAACTGCGGCCCCTGGGACGGATATGTGCAATGAACGCTTGTGTTGCTGCAGAGAGTCTCTCCCTTTCGGGGTCTTTTTGTGGGGGTCAGAGGGGGGCAGAAATTCTTACTTGGGGTCTGCTTCAGCTTCCTGGTGGGGGGCTTTGGGCAAAGGCTGGAGGGAAGCACCGCTGGTGGTGAAGAGCCAGAGGGCCT